AAAAAAAAAAAAACATTTGAACAGGAAAAATTGATGGGATTTCTTCTTTTCGCAAATGATTACATCAACAAATTTCATTAAAGAAAAAATGTTGACCCACAATTTCTTTCTGAACTAATTGTTTTTTTATTATTTCTATTCACGTGCAAAACTTCAAAAGAAGACAGTGTGTGATCTTGAAGTTCACTTGTTAAATTTAAAATAAAAATGTGTGTTCTTTGAAAATATAAAATGTAGTCCTCCATTTTCCCCTAATCTGTTGAACAAATTCTGACAACCTTTGGTTCTGTATGTTTGTGTGGAATATTTAAAATCAAAATTGTCTTCTCTCAGTGGACAAATTTCTCTAGCCATCAAATAAAGCATGAGGATGCTGATACCTCCCAAGTGTCAGATGAAGGGAAACACATTTCTGTTCAAGAATTGTATTAAATTTTTGCAAGACTATTATGCAAAATTGTTTCTACATTTTTGATTGAATGTTATTTTTGTAAGGCTCAATGTTTTGTGTAAATGCTTGAATGTCTTGGGTTCAAGTATGAATATGTAATATAGTCATCATCAGAAGGCAATTTCTAATTTTCAATCAATCCCTCTGAAATTTTAATAATTGCAAAAATTCTACTTTCTTTTTGATGCAACAGATACATTCTTTCGAAACCAATCAGTCAGGTGGTGTAGTGGATAAGTAAATTGTTTCTGGAACCTAAGTGTCACGGTTTGAATCCCAACCTGGGAAAATAGTTTTGTTGATTGGAAATATGGCAAGTTCAACCAATATTTGAATATTAAGTAACAGTTAAATAATGCAAGAAAGTGTGTGCTGAATTGCGTGAATTTTTCTCCTGAAAGTGTTTATTGAAATGTTGTGGACATGTTTTTCTTTCTCATGGGTATTCTAAAATATAAAACAATACTTATTTGCATAGCTTACAGGAGATATTTTGTTATTCAAAACTGTAATCACTACTGACTGAAAATAACTTGAACACATTAAAACATTTTTAGATATGCTTTGTGATGAGTGGCTTGTGTGAATATGAATTTTATACTTTTTCAGAATCGCCTAAAGATACTGTGGAAAGTGAATTAACAAAAATAACTTTCAGCCCTACATTAAGAACCTTCGAAATGGATGTAATGAATGAAATGGAGAAAAAAGAAGAAAATGTTATTAATGTTGCTGATGTTCCTAGTTAGTTCCTAGATTTGTTTACTAGGAATTTAGTATTTCAAGTGTGTGCATATTTCAAATTCAATTTGTTATACAAGCATATTGTTAAATAAGTTTTAAAAAATTGTACATTATTTCAATATAATAAAAGATTGTAGGCTATTTATTACCTGAGTTTTATTTGAAAACTGATGAAATTTTTTTTTTTAGGCATGAGAAAGTATTCACCGACTCATTTTAACAATCCAATTTTGTCATTAAAGAGAAAATTCTATATGGTTAATTCTGTGACAGATTTGCTGCTTTTGCAGGGAATGATTAATATATAACAAATTCATGATTAAATATTGATCATTCAATACTCATTCCTAAAGACTCAACTAGAAATTTAATTGCTCTTCATTTAATTGAAAATGATTGTACATTTTGCTAGTGTTTGTATATATCTTTTCTTCATTGTGATTAAATTATGGCTTTTGTTCATAGTGGATGCATATTTCTTTCATTGGTAAGGATTTTAATCCTCAAGTGTCTAGTGTATTCACACTTGTGATATCATCTAAAAGAGAACAAGTCCCTAATGTAGCACATCCTCCTTCTAGTAGACAAGTCATAATTTCTTTGCCTTTTTTCATGCTAACATGTACATTTGTGGTTATTTGTTAACAATATTGCATTTATGAGTTAATGTGCTTCGAATGAGGTTTAATAAAGGTCAAAAATTTTTTGTGAAAATTAGCTCTAAATTCCACATTTTCAGAAACTCTCAAAAACAGCTCGAAATTTTTTCTACAAACTTTTTTACAGATAGTGCTAAAATCACTGTGTGAGGTGACAAAAACAATTTTGCTGTTTCCATTTATTGTTTTCAAAAGTTACACAATTTTTTTTTTTTTTTTTAATATCATGCCGTTAATATGTACATTTCCAGTAGTTTGTATACATTATTGCATGTGTGAGTGAAAGTGCTTCAAATGACTTGCAGTGAAGTTTCTCAAAAATTCAAAAGTTTTCTCTGAAAAAGAGCCTCAAATTTCGCTTGTTCAGTGGCGCTTAAACGACATTTTCGTAAAAATGGCTCCAAATTTGTCTACGATAATTTCCTTATAGGTCGAGCATTTACTATCCTATAATATTCTTAAAGTCATATTTTGGATGGAGATACAATCTTGCAAGAGGATGAGGATACCGAAAAGCACGCCCAGACCAAAGAAATTAGAAAACTAACTAGTACTGTAAAGTGTGTGTGCCATTCTGCTGCACTAGTTACTTTACCGTATACGTGGTATAGTAAAAGTTATGTAATGCTGCGGAAAATCTATTTCGAGATTTCCATCCGTCCATCTGACGAACACGCGCCTAAGCCAGGGTTCTCCAACTGAGGGCCCGCGGTGCCATTTATTGTGGCCTGCAAAAGGTTGTTAGTCAAACGTGCAAGTCCTTTGCGTCAATGTTGGACGAGGCCTTTGCACTCCTAGTGCTCGCGCCCTGCCGGAGCCAACACCCCAGTGATGAACTTTAGATTTAAGATTTTTTGTTCTAAATTCAGACATTAAAAGTCATCCCAATGTGTTTTACTGCGATATGCATGATATCACGCATGGTTCCGCCCCCCCCCCTCTCCCGTTTCAGATCAGCCAGGCAAACTGCCGAGATCAACAATACTGGGAAGATAGGGGTGGATTACCCGAGTTATGTATATATGGCCCACAATCGTATTTCAGTTGTGGCCCTAGAGGCCTTGCAACTTGTACACCCCTGGCTTAAATTATGAGTAGGACTTTTTCCAAGCTTTTTTGAATATTCCCCGGTCAATCTTGCCTCAGTCGACGTTCTGCGATTGTGAATAACATTCTTTTATTTTGTGTGGTACTGTACATAAAGCCCCTGGGACATTTTCAAAATTTTCTCAAAAGTGGCCCCACATTTTTTTTAAATTTCTTGTGAGAATAGAGTGAAATACACCTATAACAGTAGCATTGTGATGATTTTTACTGTTATCTCTGAGTTTTCGAAAATTGAAGTTTGAATTGTTTCTAACATGTGATCCATGACCGTCTAAAATTAAGACATGAGGGGGGGGGGCGGTTTCGCATACTCAATGAAGGGCGGAAACCAATCAGTACAAAATGTATACCTGAATACACCCGGACTTTTGTCACCATACAGTAGTTTCTGGCGGGCATCCACTCAAAAGTTCTGTCTTCATATTTTCGTATTATTGTAAAGTCAAGGTACACATATACCGAATGTGCTCGAACTCACCACTACAGTGATGAGCGCCCCTCCTCCTTGGGCCGATAAAGCTACAAATTTGTTTTTTCCCTTTAAGAGATCTTTGGAGCGAGACTGAACTAAGCGGATTCCTATTTTACGTACATTCTGTGTTCGGTTTCATGCCAATCTTTTCAATTCAGGTTCAAGCAAATTGCAAAACAAATTTGCCCCTTACCCCATTCCCCTTAGTAAAATCATTGGCCCTTACCAAAGACATGGATTGCGGTTTGCGCAAAGGAAGAGTCGGCTTTTTTTTCTTTTCTTCCTTAGGGGTCCTTTGAGACACAGCAAACGGGTGATTAATATAATTTTTCACAGCTAGTTGAAAGATTAACAGACCCCTCATCTTCGAATTCAGAGAAAAACGATTTTCAGATAGAAGCGGAAGTAACAATCTGTGAAGTAGAATGTAAAGATTTTATGACGTAAAGTGAAGTAGGTATTCAGGATCAGTGAATACTCTGCGTGGGCTGACATTCTTGTCTTACCTGGAGGGTTTTACTCCTCAGGGCATGCACATAGGCTTTTCGGGCTGGCATCCGGAAACGCCAGAACGGAGCGCGCCTCCCCAATCAAGTGTGGTTATGATCACTCTGCCCCCTCAAAGCTACTAGCAGTTCGGGCTAGTGCCGGAGTCTAATTGAGTGCCACTCACTAGCGCCGGGACGAATCCCTTCTCAATAACCCATGAGCATTGGGGACTGCCACGATGAAGCCAAGTATCCAACTGGGAACCGCCCAGATGAAGGTCCAGGCGGCTCGAGGCCCCTAACCTGTCTTCTCGCTCTCCTCACATTGACACTATCGACGTGAGTATTAAGGGAATCTAGAACAACCTGACGGGAGATTCGCGTTCCTCGTCGGGATTCTATAATTGGGTCTGGGAACAAGACCTCCCTCAACCCTGCTCCAAAGAGTAATGCCTCCTCATTGCACCCATCTTGATGCTATCGGCGTGAGTACTGCCGAGAAACCAGAGTAGACATTTCTAATCTCCATCATGAACCTCAGACCTTCCGGCCGTCGGTTTTCCCTTCCGGGAAATATTCAAGATCAGGTGACAGAATGTGCTTCAAAAAATTATGAAAGTATCATATTAAAAAAAGTCCTTATGCAACATTATTCCCTGATCTTTGGCCACATTCTGGTGATATCTTACGGGATTGTTGGATAGAAAAGGGATCTTCCACTTGACAAAATAAAGAAATTAATTTTGATAAATCAGCCTTTGTATATAAAACCGGGGATAATGTATGGCCACAATACTGAAAAGAGGTGTTGAAAAGAAGTGGAGTGCGTTAAGGTAAAAAGTTCTCGATTGAGCCAGTGGCGGCTCGTGCTTGCATAGGTTGCAACCTTCAGATATTTGTTAAAAGATCTCATAATATCTTAGGAATTTACATTTATGTATATGAAATCATTTTAAACCCAAAGAGCATCCACCCGCATCCACCTGGCTCTCTTTCTGGTGTCTGACGCCTTGTATGTTTTTTTGTGTTCTTAATTGTATTAGATGTATAATCAATGTAAAGAATTTGCCACCTGCCGTGATGCCCAAATAAAATTAAATAAATTATCTCTCTCTACCGTGCAGAGGCCCTTCACATACTGATCTTATCGCTTACACTATTACTAGAATTTAATCTTACCCTAAAAGTCTTGATGTTTGTGGGAAAAGCCTCCACTGGTGCTGCAGGCAAGCTATTCAATGACTCGATAGTCGTATTTACAAATGAGTATTTTCCAACATCAGTTCTCTGTTTCCTTGGACGTATTTTTCTAATATGGCCGTGACGTGCTCAGTAAACGGGTTCATGCATTCTTTCCTGAATATCCCTCCATGCAGAATTTACTTATTTATTTATTTACGTCAAAACAGTTAAAAACTATATGTGACGTGCTATGGGGAGAAGTTAATTTGAAGTTACATTAATGTCCAGAGGCAAAACAAGGGGCCATATCAGCATGTGCTCAAGAATCAGGGAAACTGGACGAAAACCTGAACAAGATGGGGGTCATTGACCCAGAAGCAGAAGTACAATACTTAAGTACCGAGAATTAGTAAGTTAGAATGCCCTACAATTCACTTGTTACAGATTATTTAGAATTATACAATCCAAATAGTAAATAATAAATTAAATGCTGTTAAAATATAAATATACTTTTCTTTTGAGAATGCTCGCATCAAAGAAAACTAAATTTGTTATTGAAAGGAACCAGGTGTTGCAAGCAGAAATTTTTTTCTTGGGACTTAAACTTTAGTATCTAATTTAATTGTCCAATGTCACCTGAATATACATGTAGTATATGTGAATTTTTGCAGTGAGCTGTTGATACTTTCTCGTAATGAATATGATTACTACGTCGAGTGTTGTAGTTATAGACAACGGCGTTTGTTGAAGATATAGTCCCGTCCTTAAGTAAGTCATTTTTGACACACATTTTTGAAACATTGATTCATATATGAAGAGACAATGTAATGGTAATATACCTAGATTAATAAAGAGAGGCTTACGAGAATCACGTGGATGGGATTTGTGTATTATTCGTAAAATTATTTTTTGTAATCTAAAAGTCTGGGAGCTAAAAGATGTATTTCCCCAGAATATTAGGCCATATCTATATAATAATAATAATAATAATAATAATAATAATAATAATAATAATAATAATAATAATAATAATATCTCAGGCAGGAATGAACATTCGCGAAGTATACACAACGAACAGTATGAAGGCTCATTGAAGTTGAAAGAATTCTGAATGCGTAGCATAATGAACTTAATTAAGTGTTCAAATCATTTAAATGGACGTTCCATTTAAGGTTTGACTGAATTGAAAGACATAAAAATGTTACCTTAACATCAGTCAACGGCACACCGTTTATTTTCAATGGTGTACAGAGGTGTTTATTTGAAATGGAAAACTGCATTGAAACTGTTTTCTTTTAATTTACTATTAATTGGTTATTACGAAACCAATTTGAGATATCTGATATTCTATTTACGGTTTCTTTATTGCAAAGAATATTCGTATCATGTACAAAGAGAACTGTTCTTCCGTTTCTAATCGTCGAGGGCATATCGTTAACGTAGAGTAGGAAGAGAATAGGGCCTATTATCGATCCCTGCGGGACTTCATGTGCAATTAACAAGTAAAGGTTTGTGCGTAATGTTCCATTATTCCAGTAAGGTATTTCCACTCTTTGAAATTCTTTGATCGTTCTTTATGGTACGAACATAACCAATCTGGAGCATTACCACGAATTCCATACGAAAATAATTTTGAAAGGAAAATGATATGATCGATGACGTCAGAAGCTTTTGAAATATCTAAAAATATATCAAGAAGTGCTTCATTTTGATGCATGGATGAGGAGATATCTTTAAGAAAAGAAAATATGGCTGTTTCCGTAATTTTGATTTTCGAAACCCATGTTGACAATCTGAAAACGCGTCGTGTTTCCATTCGTCCGTAAACAAGTATCTCTAATACTTTTGAAAAAAAAGTCAAAAGAGAAATTGGTCGATAATTTTAAATTTCATTTTTGTTACCTTTTTGAAAAACGTCTTAATCTTTGCTGTTTTAAAAATCTGGAAAAACTCCTGTGCATAAGAATTCATTAAATATGTGAGTTAACGGGTGTATAATGGCATGCACGCGAGTCTTTAACTAGCAATCCGGAAATTCATACATATTGAACGAATATTTATTTTTTAATCTACCTATTATTTTGAGAATTTCATAGGAAGAAGTTTCGAAAACGAACATCGTGTCTAAAATTTTTTGGGAAACTTCTAATGAAGAATTTTGTGGCTGAAGACCCTTAGTGAGATCGGCAGCAATTCTCGAAAAGTATTGGTTAAAGAGACTAGCTACTGTTGCCAGATCATTCACATTTCTATCGTTATCTTTTAAAACAACATTCTCTACAAGGCTTCTATTCGATTTGGTCGACTTTTTAATATATTCCTCATTGATTTTGTTTTATTATTTGAGTTCAAAGTATCCTGATCATGTTTCATGATTTTAGCCTGCCGTATGACTTTTCTTAACAATGATTTGTATTTTTAAAGTAGAGGAGGAAATCTTGAGATACAAAAAATTAACATAGCTAAAGTACAATCTTGATGATAGAGATTTATTTGTTAAATGAAACCTGTTCTAAAAATAAATTCTTTAACCTTTTCTAAAATAATTCTTTATGTTATGTACATAAAAAATAGTAGTTTAGAGTAATTTTATCTTCAAAATTGCAAATTCGAATTTTCCGCGCTCATTTCCAGAGATGTCAGATTGGTATGCAACAATGGAAACGCAGCGCTGCGACACGGCAATTTGAAATTCTAAGAATTCCTTCGTATTGTTGGAAGATCCTGCAAAATTTCCCATGGAATGGAATCCCGAACCTCTGTATCTGAACCTCCAGAGAGTAGCTACTCATACTAGCCCCTACACAATGGTGGTCAATTCTAGTTGACAAGTATTAAAAAGTTTGTTTATACCATACAAATGGGTGAAAACAAGAATGGCATAAGTGCCTTTTTTTAATTCTGAGAAAAACATGTTTATATTAAGCTATATTTCAGTGCTAATGTAATTTCATGGTTTTAATGAACAATGGCAATTGTTAAATGATGACACAAAGCACCACGACTTTACAGTGATATTGAAAGAAATTAACAGTATTCTTAGAATTTATAAAATGTCACTTATACTGTTCTGGTTTTCACCCATTCATATATCTTATTAATTTAGTTTCATGATATCTAATAAGTTTCGAAACATAACGCTATCATCATATTAATCAATTACTTGTTTGCCAAAATAATATAATGATTACATCTGGTATACCTTAGGGTTCCCATTTGGGCCCTTTATTATTCATATTATTTGTTAATGACCTCTAACTTAAACTACTAGATAGACTAATATCCAAAGCAAATAGTATGCTGGGTTTCATCAAGAGAACGACCCAGGACTTTAAGAATCCAAAATCTTTCGAACTTGACATTATTTAGACCAATTTTAATGTACGCTTCTTCTAAGTTCAGCACAAATTTCTAAATTTTGTTGCATTGAAATTAAAATTTCTCTCACCTAGTTTAAGTCATAATTATACCCAGGTTGTTACTGTTGTGAATATAAGCTCGTTGAAATCGCGTAGAAATTATACGGATGTTAAGTTTCTATATACTTTGATAATAAATCGATTGTATTGATCTTCATACAAAAATTCCGTGAAAAGTTCCATTCTTAAATTTGAGAAAAAACGAACACATTGAATTCTTAACATCTTTTGCGATAACTAATCAGTTTTATTTTGCACTACTATGAAAAATGTGCAAATTAGTAAATGAATTGAATATTGATATGTACTCTGATAAACATTGTATTAATGAAATATATTACATTACTTTATATTATTATATATTATATTATATTATATTAATTATATTATATTATATTATATTATATTATATTATATTATAGTGTATTATAAATATATTATTGGACAATTGCCTGATTAAATAAACAAATCAATGAAAAATGAAAAAAAAAAAAAAACTTTTGTTTTGTCCAAACTTAAAATGAATTTCATATTCCAAACAGCGTTGTTCTATACTGAATAGAAAAAGAAAAAAAAAATCATTTCATTAAAATCTGTCCCTATTCATAATGTAATAGGTTCTCTTATAAGGCCAATATTGCAATATTGCAAATTTTATTTAACACCAAAAATACGATGTAAAATATGGGAAAAAGAAATAAATTTATATGTAAATGTAATATAAAAAAATATAAAAATATTTCTGTCGTGAAATGCAAACAGAATGATCTAATGGAAACATCTGCAATGTTTCCCTTATTTCTTATCGAGTATCTTAATAAACATACTGATAAAACAATCATTGTAAAAATGTAAATAATTGTCTGACGTTGTGACAGCTTTTGAGGGTGCTAACATTGAACAAGCATGGTGCAAATAATACCATAACAAGTATTCTTCCATTGTGCATGGAGGAAGAATGGTGTTTGTTTGCAACTAAATACGAAAATAGTAATGTACAATAAAAGACAGAACTAGTCGATTGTAAAATCTTGGGTAGTTTTCGTAAAAAGTTGTAAATTCGTGGATAGTAAGGGATGCTGCAATTGTTTATGCTATTTTACTAAAAAATCTCGAGAGTACGACCACAGTATTATACTGTGGTATGACGGTAGATAAAGTTGGTGAACCTTCTTTATTGAATATACTCTTTGACGTCTCGAGTGACGAGCTAGCTATACACAACAAGATGGCCAAAATCAGCTGTTTTTGAAGTGGGCGTGTGGAGAACGAGTTATCAAAATCTTTCGAGTCTAAGTCAGTATAAGCAAAGTAAAATGATTATTTGATTATTTAAAAAGCAGTAATGTAATTTTTGTGCCGTGTGACACATGATCTAATAATTTATTTTATGCTTTAGAAACCCTTGGAAGAAGGCAAGATGACATAAACGTCATGTTGAGGTGGTCGAGTTTGGATCAGAAATAAAGATACGGGAGAAGTTTCACTTATCTCATTGAGGGTTAGTGTTCGTGTTATTGCATGCCAGTCGTTACGGTATTTTCTTGTTCTGTGATTTTTACTGACATTTGTAGCACTACCTATCACATGTACCCCGATTTTGAATTAACACAACTGTAGTATTGTATATGTCGTATTCGTGCCTTACAAATATAATTTCCAATCACAAAATGAATAAAACAATAATTATGATTTAAGGAGATGTGTTCTTAGAAATGAATTGAGAACTATTTATCTCAACAAATCTGATTGCAAGAGAAAAACTTAATTATTAAGATTTTATTTGATTGTTATGTAAAGGAATATAATTATTCTATTCTCGTTCAAAATATTTTCTGATATTTAAGAGTGGGCAACGTTTTAAGGTTTTTAAAGTTCAAATTGAAAAATATCAATTTTTGTAGTAATATGGAAATGTTTTTATTGGAAGTTCAATGGCTCATAAACTGAAAAGAATTCAATTAAACTATTGAGGAAATAAAATTATCTTGCTAGTATCTTATTAATTAGCAGAAAAATGAATCCTTAATTAATAACTGCATTATTTGAGTTAAAAATAACCAACGGTATTGCTTTGTCATCTTTTTTTATTTTGGTTTCCTACATATAAATGTCAATTGTTCAACCTTAAAATATTTTTAGTGGCTTGTTGCTTACAGAGTTTCACGTTCGATATTACAATTTCTTAAGATTTTAATTAAATGTGCTGTTAGAGTCAAGTTCTTAAGTATGGTTCAGAATGATTAAAGACAATAAAGTAAAGGACATTTTTCTTGAATACTTAACATCTGAAATGTATTCATGTGATGCATATTTGAAACCTTGGTGTAAATAATGTTACATGAATTCTTGATACCAACTTTCTCAATGATAAATTTTATTTATGACAGGTGTATAATAAAAACTACACAAGATGAATATAATGCGGAAATTTCGAGCAGGATGTGGCTCTATGCCAAGTATGTCTCAAGATGAGACAAATTCTAATCCCCAACATACAGCACTGGGTCTGATGCATCTTAAAAAATTGTTTTCTGAATACACACATCCTTCTCATCCTCTCAGTGAGAAAGAGAGAGATGATAAACTATACAACATGCTCCCTCTGTTTTGCAAGGTATGAAATTATTGTAAATGTGGTTTCTAATTCATTGAGATCTGTTCATGTACACCAAAAGGAATAAATTAAGTTTTAAGCTTTAATAAAGTAAGTAAACCTTCAAATTATAAGAAAAATTTACAATCATAATTTGTAAATTATTAACTAGTTCATTTAATACAGTTCTTTACTTTTGTTGTTGTTCATGCTCTCATAAACATAAATAAAATTGTTTGAACAATAAACATCCTTCTAGATGTTTTGTTACTTTTTAATAGGTGTTTGGAAATAGCCCATCTGCTGATATGATGGAAAAATTTAGAGACATATTAGCATTTTGTCAGCAAGTATCTCGACTAATGGTGTCAGAAATGAGACGTAGAGCTTCTAACCAATCCACAGAAGCAGCAAGTTGTGCTATTGTCAAGTTCCTTGAAATTGAAAATTCTGAAGAATCAAGTAATGGGTGGATGTTGCTGTCAACTATAAATTTGCTTGCTGCTGGAGACTCTTCTCTTATTCAGGTTTGTGTGTCATGAACATTTTACTTTACAAGTTTACTTTGAGGGTAGTAATTCAAAAAATACAAATGTGTGGCTGAGGAAATACATAGTAATATTTATTGAGTCACATATACAATTACAATTGTGTGTGAGTCAAATTGCATATATTATCATAGGTTGACAGATTTCTGGAAAACTAAGGGAAATTGAATATTTGAATTAAAATTTTTCAAAATATTATTATGCAGAAAATTACTTTTAAACTCAAAATAATTTTGAATGTATAGATGTTGAAGCATGGATTTAAATCAAATTAAAGAGAGAAAAAATGGTTTTCTAGAAGAGTCAAAAGCACTGTTCAAAATGTTTCACTTCATTTCATGTAGAGTTATAGATGCATTAAGGCAGAGATATTTGGAAACCGAAAGAAAATGCAGGAAATACAGATTCTGATGACCAGCGGTAACCCTGAACAACTTAATAACAAAATAAAACAAGATGTACCAATTTTGGTGTATTAAGGCATCACAATGTGTTTTTCTGTCGAAAAATCATAGTTTTTTGACACAACATTACATAACATTCTCTATACTAAATATATTACTCTGTATATTCATACATATATGAGAAAGTAAAAATTAATAATCAATTAGCTTAGTACAACAGCTCATACTTTCTCGCATTGTTTCTAACTGATCCGCTATATTATACCACTACATAAATATGCAAAAGTATTTTCAACCACCAAAAATTATTTTCTGCACAGAGACTTGAACTCGGGTCCTTCGAGTTAACTCGCCATCAGTCCTATCAATACGCTACAGAAACTATGTGATGTTTGAAATCAAAATGATGCTTAAAAATGTAATCAACCCAATATTTCCAACCTGTAATTTTTGCAATTGTCAAAAATATGGAGAGTTCCCTGAAAATGGAACTACCACCGTATTTTTTGCTGTCAGTTGTTACACACAAGGAGAAAATTTATTGAAAACGTGTTGAGCGTTCTTCGAGTAACATTTCTTTTTTACAAATTGCATAAATTTCAGACTAATTACATGAAATCTACTCTTTTTTCCCCGTCAAAAGATTGCACTGGCCCTTTTTTTAAGCTTAATTATTACAATAGACTTTGTCCAAGGCAAACATTTCTATCTTCAGCATTTTAGTTTGGAAAAGTTAACTTTGTGCAATTTTTGAAAATCAGACAAAATCTACTATTTGTTTTTCCAAAAAAATCATACATGCCCCCATTTTTTGTTTAAAGAGCTTAATTTTTACAACAGACTTTATCTAAGGCAAACATTTCTATCTTCAATTTTGAAGTTTTGAAATATTAACATTTGGCAATTTTGGGAATTTTGGAGAGTTTACCGAAAATGGGACAACTACCATATTTTTTATGGTCCCTTGATACACATGAAAAAATTGAAGTGTTTTTTTGAGAAAAAATATTGGTAAACCTTTTAAAATTACCTAAATTTTGCCAAATATTACACAAAAGACTACTCATATTTTCGAAAATTTGAACATGAACTAATTTCAAGATCTGTCTTTAAAGAACAGATTTGATTAAGGAAAAAGTCTATCTTCAGTATTGTAGTTGTTGCAAGACGGAAAAATAATGCATTATTGCAGTTTTCAAAAATTCAGGGATTTCAATGAACATGAGACTTGCACCATTCTCTTAAACGTCATTTATACTTTCCAAGGGCAAAAAAACTTGAGCTATTTTTGAGAAAATTTTGAAAATGTTTATAAGGCTTTATGTAAAGTACTCTCAAAAATCAAAATTTCTTTTTGAAACTCCCAAAACGTAGATGATAGCGTTGACCACAGATGGACATAGAGATGGACGGACAGACGTACGAAATTCTATTAATGATTGATTGTATATGTAAGAGATTCAGTTACGTGTGATGTAATCCCTTGTATAAAGAAGTCTGGAATATTGCCAATCCCAGCAGATTGTTTGTTTTCCATTTTGTTTATACTCCTTGTAGAGTGTGGAGTATCCATCATTCTGTCCGTTGCAATTGTTTTTGCTAATAGAATTCTCTGATGTACACGTAAGCTTCCGTGGCTCGATTCCATAAATTCTTGGCTATCCGGGAGTCACTGCGTCGTTGGCTGAGAGACCGACATTTCGCCTGACATGTCGCAGGCTTTCTTCTGCCCTGCCCTGAGCAAGCCTGAAACGTCGGTCTCTCAGCCAACGTCGCAGCGTCTCCCGAATAGCCAAGAATTTATAGAATTCTCTCTCAGTTTGCATGTGAGAATAGATATATTGCAGTCAATTGACGAAAAGCCCACTGTGAAAAGTGTTTACCCTTTTTATCCACTGAAAACAAAAGATGTTATATCAGTGGCTGCAATTGTAAAAATTGTCACCAAGAATTCTGAAATGCATCACAACTGAGCCAAATTTAATGCAAATGGGTTCAAGGTGAGATACAATATTACAAAGATATAACCTAAACATTATAAGAAATATGACAAAGTAGGGTAAAATATCATTGTCCAACATATAAGAACAATGAAATTTGGATTAAAGAAGCCAATTTGAAGTCTGCAAATTGTATAAACAAAAGGAAACTAATGGAGTAGCAACAAAACATACTTTCTTTCATTATTTGTAACAGTTTCATAATACAGTAAAACCCCTCTGAATCAAAACCTTTTAAATGAAATAATCTACGGGAGAAAACAAGAAAAAAAAGGGAGGCGGGGGAAGCCATGCGTTTCATGGAAAGACCAGAAGCAGCTAGGCCTGCTGAGATTTTATTGATCAAGTGATTATAACACTGCTGGAAAAAGAAACAGAAGGTTAATTATGTTTTTCCAAAAATAGACCCCCTGCAATTCTAAAAATAGTATGTGCATGTATGCATTCAAAAATAGTATTTGTATGTAACTTAACATTTATACGAATAAAAGTCCGTTACATAGCTGGGGAAAATTTATATAAATTAGTTTATGTATATATATCACCTTCAGCTTTAGAAAATTGCAATTTCTTATTAAATTAAATTTTCAGTTACTTGGATAACACCCCTGTCTCATTTATTTCAGTTAACGGAGATTGTGTATAATTCCTATTTGAATCAGTAAGAAATGTTTATCTGACACTGGGATTCGATCTCAGGTTCTTAGTTTATGCATGCCATGCATGTTAAACTTAAACCACCCAGCTGCTCATGTACCATTCCACCTTCCATCTGCTTTAAAAACAAAATTGAATATTTGCATTTACCTATTTCAAATTCAGGGATTTTATTTCTGTTTTGAGATCAATTTTGAACAATAGATTTCATTAGAAGAAAGAAAATCTGTATCTTCACATTTGCAGTTGTAGGAAGATGCCGAATAAATTTTAAACTTTTACAATTTTCAAAGTATTAAATTTTCAGCGAAAATTAAACTTGCACTCTTTTTGAAGTACTTGCTCATTGTTTTAAGTGTACTGGGCCTGATTAGGAAAAAAATGTAAGAACAAATTTGGAATATTGAGTTCTTCAGGCTTTAACATGAAGTACTCTCCCCTCCCTGTCACACACTAATGAAATATCAATTTGAATTCAAGTGGTTATCAGCCAAATTGATAGGTGAATATCAGTTTTGTTAAAATTCTGTTTATTGTTTAGCTGCTAGCATTGTTCAAGATGGGTTTTCCTGTAGCTTGTCTTTAGGTATCTAGAACCAAATGGATTCTGATACTTGTTTTAGAGGAAAGTAATCAAGAAGATTTGTTGAAATTAGTTAGTTAATAGATAGAATAGTTTTTAGGAAGAGGAAGTAGCCATTTTTTGGTATCAGGAAACAACCAATTTCAAATGTTTGTCTCCAACGAAAAAAAAAGCATTGGGAATATAGATTCATACCACTCATCAATAGCAGCACAATAATCTAACACTTGTTTTCTCCTAAGATTTTTGACTTACGAACCTTTACCTCGGATCACAGAATTGTTGTTGAATTATAATTGGAATACAAATATTTTTAGAATAACAGTACAGTAAAATTGTAAAATATATTTAAAAAAATGTTTGTTGGAGTTTAGTAAGCTAGTTTGGAGCCTATAGTTTTTAAACTTTAAAATATACTTTTGGGAAGATTTTTATTTGTTCTCCAAGTGTGTTCTGTATTTTTCACTTACTTTTAATCACTCTTTGTGACAGTGTTGAAGTTTTTCATTGATCAGTTTATTTTGGAATAATAGTTGCCAGATCATGTGATTTGTTAAATAATTAATTAATAAATTTATGTTCTCCAATGTATTCTACATCGATCTGCAATTGTTGTATTTTGAATATGATAGAAGGAAATTTGAAGAGGGAAAAAAACTAATGTGCAATTTTTTAACCATATGAAAAATATTTTCTGCTGTATATAATAAACAAATATTGTGTAAATTGTTCCAATTATTGAGTTGAGAAATCAATAATTTTTGTAATCATATTCATAGATGAATGTAAAATATTTGTGAAATTGTTTTTTACACTTTTTACCTCAATTTTGATTTATGCGAAATGCATTAAATTCCATATTAAAACTGTACTCTGGTTTATGTTGGATCTTCTAATTGTCCAATTTCTTTTACAGGTTATGACATCTGTCAGTACCATCAACATTAGTCAATTTATTACCTCTTTTTTGATCTGCTGAAATAGAGAATCCAGACACTGTAGAGAATGGCAGTGATTTACTCCTCGTGAAAGGAGGATTTTTGCTTCAGAAAATATTTGTGCAGCGTGATACTTTTTATTATTTTTCCATGAGTGTGATGATGGAAGATAATATCAAAATTATTATTATATATTATTTATTCTTATTATTATTATTATTATTATTATTATTATTATTTATTATTTTATATATTATTATTATCATTATCATTATCATTATCATTCATTATCATTATTATTACTTATATTATTTATTATTATTATTATTTATATTATTATTATATTGAATAAATTAATATTAAAAAGATTATTAAAGTTGTAGTGTGTGTAAGGCTGACAGATATGTGGGAAATTGATTTTAGATGCTTCTCGGGGTGGTTGGCATGTAACATAAATTTTAAATTTTGATGAATGATAGATAGTGTTCGGCCTTGTTTCTGTATTTTCACTGCCATCTTAGTAGCTCATTAAATGTGAAGGCTTGACTTGATGGAGGCAGGTGCTTCTTTTAAATTTTTTGTATTATAAGTATCATCAACCTAGGCCGGTTTGAACATGCAACCTGAGATTAGTAGTCAGATGTGTTCACCACAACTTCACCTAAGCTATATTTTAGAAGTAATAAAAAGCAATATTTATTAACAAATTTTCTATATATAGGTTTTTGGTTAGACTATGCAGTCATGCATCTCCTGCTGAAGAACTTGCTCGTAAAGATGATTTGACATTACTTTTCTCAGCAATCAACTTAGTTTGGTAGTTTCCATCCTATAATGTAATGTGGCGGAAAAGTGCTGCTGAAGTACTTATGACCTTTCAACGACATGGTCTCACTCAAAAATGTTGTTAGTACATTCACAGTAAGTATTCATAATATTATGTATAATGAAATTGGCATAAAATGGTTTTCTCCATTGAAATCTCTCTCTTTT